GAGGTATGCTAACTTTCGCGCTATCTGGTTTATCTTGCCTTTGAAGGATTCTAACTTGAGCTTCGGAGCCCTTACGTCGGGTTCTCCCCGGAACTTCTCTTCTCCTTCCGTTTCAGGTCCCTATTACTCAGTTCAGAGGCAAGATCATCGACAGCTAAGACCGGCCAGATTGTGCATCATCAAATACCAATAAAGATATTAAAATTATTATTGTTATATGAAATTATCACATGCAAGCACACGCACATTTACTAATAGTAAGGAAAGGTGCTAATAGTGTGCATGCTAACCCACATAGAACAAATACTCAATCGATTGTATGATTATTCCCGTGGCACCTATAAATAGTTCTCAACCATAGGCCACTTGGTCCAACAAGTGGTAGTATGTGACTATGTGTCCAGCTTGTTAGAGTCCTAGTCATGTAGGTCAGTGTGGTTTGCACGTTGGTGTTGTTTGCTTCTTGTTCTTTGTTGTGTTATGTTTAATCTCTGTTTTTGTATGCTCATTTTGTTAAATACATATCTCATATATATAATCAAATTAATTATGATTATGGGTGCTTAAATCATACGGGTCATTCTTCCTTAATGGTTGCTGTAGGTAATTAGGTTGTCTTCTAACCAAACGTATCATATAACCAAACCCCCCAGAGTTCTTTCTGAAAACCGTTATAGACTTGATAGTTGGATTGCCTTGACTGTAAAAGAATTGCCACTTCTTGTTTTAGTCAAGGAACCGGGTTAGTAGTTAGATGTGAGTTGGTAAAGGACAGTGGGACAAAACTTCAGCAGACTACCAGCCAGACTGAGGTCAGAGGCCCCATGGGAATATGGGATGATCATCACTACTCAGGGTCATTTCCGAAGGACATAGCTCCTAACTGATGAGCTGCCCTCCTACCCTTCATTGAGACATAAGAAAATTAATGAGTTCACTTTTCATTTCTCAGGTAATACAAGTTTACATGAAGATAAGAGGACTTCCTTTGTACCAACTATTTGGGGTCTGATAAACAACTCCCCTTCCTAGATCAGACAYCTTTTATAATATTGTTTTATAGTCCCCTATCAATCAAATGGAAGTGAAAGAAGATACAGGTGTATTACCAAAACTTTTTACATATTGTCATCTGATTAGTTTCTCTTTCATCAGTGCTCCTCATGACTCAAAACACAATTCCTGTGACACAAAAGAATGCGATTAGGATGGCCATTTGACAGTTGAAGATCTCTTTGATTGGATTGGCCATTGTGATTCAGATGAAATTTGCATGGACTCAAGCTCAACAACCTTGCCAGTGCTGGAAATAAATTATACAAGAAATTAGTTAAGTATTTATTATAAAACTTAAATTATACAAGAAATTAGTTAAGTATTTATTATAAAACTAAAAATAGAACACGTGCTGAGGTGAAATACTTGGATACATCTGAAAAATAAAAACTTATATATAGAAAAACAAGTGGATTGATGCACCATGACACACCTGAAGTAGACCCGTACAAAGAAGATGCTGTCATTCATCAAATGAAGATTCGTAAAACATCTTGTATGCCTCAATGACTTCTAGATGCCACATTGCTTCTCGATTGGGGAAAGGCGACAGATCAACAATCTTGTGCACCTGCATTTTTAATGAAACCAGGTCTGGCTTTCATAATCTTGGAAATAGGTCATTCATAGAATTGGTCATCACTGAAGTCACCAATTTGTTCAAGTCTATGCAGAAGATGTCAGACTCGAGTTTTATCCATTTCTTCAATAGGACATCTTCAACCTCTTTTTTTTCTTTGTGTTAGGCTACAAATTGTTACTGACCATCCATATACAATCCCAAGAATCAACAGTTACACAATCATGATGCCCCTCCCCCCCCCCCAATAAATAAATAACAGTGTTTTAAAAGGTGTGGGAGGCGTACGCCTGGATGCACACCTCCAGGCAAGGTGCCCCCAAAGCGCCCTGAGGCATATGCCAAAGGCGCTGACACCTCTGAGGCGTACGCCTCAGGTGGAGGAGGCGTGCACCACTGCGCCTCATACGCTTTTTTCATGAGGCGTACTAGAGGCATACGCCTCATATACACCCAGTGTTTTAAAAGCGCAAGGCACAAAAAAGGCGCAAGGGCCATTTTGTGCCTGAGGCGCAAGGCGAGGCGCGTGCCTTTTTGAGGCAAGGCGCACAATTTAAAAAAAAAAAAGCTAAAAAAATAAAAAAAAATGCAAACAATTCAAAAAAAAATCAAAAAATTATAAAACATAATATTAATAAAAATATAAACTTAAGTTTTAAAATAAATGTTTTAAAAAACCTATTATCTAAAATTAAAGTACATAAATATAATATGTAAAGCATATTCAAATGAGAGTTTGAAAATGAAATCACACATATAAAACATTTTCAAGCATATAAAACCCACAATCTCTTTTTTTTTTCTCAATTGCATCAAGTAGCTAATGTGGACATATTACATTCCTAATTCTACGAGCCGCCTTTGTGCCATGCCCCTTGAGGCAAGCCCAAACAAGTCCATGTTAGGGTCTTAAATTCTTAATTTTCACATAAAAAATAATAATTTTATAGTTTTAATTGCTTTAAAGAAGATATTTTATTAGGATGAATGAATGGACAACACTACCAAATAGGGGATTCTCGAAGCTTCAGTGAGTGAGCGAATGAAAATTAAGAATTTAAGACCCTAACATGGACTTGTTTGGGCTGGCCTCAAGGGGTGTGGCATGGGGGTCCGAGGGCGGAGCCCCCAATCCAGCCGCCAGACTTAAAAAAAAGGAAAAAGCGGCAAATTTTCAAAGGGTGCACACCTGGGCTAAGGCGCACGCCTAGGCACACCAGGCATGCGCCTTTTGAATGGGCTACGCCTAGGACCTGGGCGAGGCGCCAATCCTAAAATGCGCCTTGCCTGTGCACCTCAGGCGCGCCTTTTTAAATCACTGTATGCACCTCATATAAAAAGACAAAAAAAAAAGAAAAAAAAAGGATAGGATAGGATAGAAAAAGAAAAGAAAGGGAAGGGAAACAAAAAGAAAGAAAGAGAAGAAAACAAAGAGAAAAAGAAAGAAAGAGAAGAAAAGAAAAAGAAAAAGAAAGAAAAGAATAGGAAAGGGAAGGGAAGGGAAGAAAAGATAAGGGGAAAGACCCCATACCCCTCAGCCCCTTTTTCTATGCAGCCCAATTTGGTTTTTTTCTGTTGGGGGTGGGGGTGGGGGTGGGGGGTCTTGCTCCGCTTCAATAAGACCCCCCCCCCTTTCAACTAGTGCTCTAGTGCTATGCATCTTCATTCTTCTTAATATAAAAGTTTTTCTCATTCCACCTCCCTCTTCTTTCTCCTCTCCTTCCTCTTCATCCCCCTCCTCTTAAGGAGGCTTATGCCTCCTTGTGTTCGAGAGGCTTACGCCTCTTACGTTCTGAACTACGCATCACGCCTCTGCATTTTAAAACATTGAAGCAGAGACTATATCTGCTTCACACAACTTGCTGTTCATACCAATGTACATGAAATAGGAACCAGCATCTGTTTAAAACTCATCACCCACCGCTTCACCTTCCCTTCTTCCATCGTAGCTACTCTAGCAACAAAGAAGCACATTTTCAAAATCCAAATGCACACAGGTTCAACCCAAGAATCCAAGTGCTCTAAGGATCAAAAGATTTTTTCTAACACCACATAAGGTGATTGCACCATATTTACCTTACCAGTAGACCGAAAAGCAGAGGTAGGCAGGTATATGCTGTCTTCATGGATTTCTAAGTTTATAACATAAACAACTCCAGGAAATTAGATTGTGAAGTTGCATTTAATGTTCATGGTCCCATCTCAAAAGGTTTTTCAATCAGTATCCTATCTCCAAGATTTTAGATTGCATGCTTTTAAAAGAATGAAGATCGACAACACTTAAAATTGCAGCATATGTACATCCTTCTCCAAACTGTCACTAATAATCCACATTAGAAGGCCAAACTAATCAGTCTGGGATCATCACAACTACATATACAGTTCATTTCTAAGCAATCCCTTAGTTCCTTTCCCTCTTAGATTCCCTTAATAAGCATTTTAAGTTTAAAATATGGCAATGAAAATTTAGGTTTGTTTGCATTGTTGTGCCATGGTGGTCTCCAGTCCTTGCTTGCTCGGAAGGAATGTGAAAGTCAAAGCTCCAAGCTCTACCACCCCAGCTGATTCCTTCCTTCCTCTAAACACCCCCCTTCCCAATATTTCTGGAAGACAATGAGGATCAAGATTGTTGAAACTCACACTAGTGCACAGAAGAGTTCTGGACCGTTCTACCACTGTTGCCACCAGAGCTGAAGAAGACATGTTTAGGGATGAAAACAGGGACTATATACCCCATAACACATTTGAATGAGACTTCTGGATGGTATTGAGAAATGAAGGATTATTTAGTGTTTCTGGATATCACTATCATTGTGGTGTACCTGGACAACATAATTATGATAAAAGCATACGAAATTTTGGATGAAATTGACGAGATTCTTACTGTATTATTTCAAGAAAGAAAATCATGCTTCACAGATCATTCATGCAATGAAACATTGGAATAAATCATCTATATATAGAAATTTTTCTATGATGAAAATCATGCTTCACATATCATTCCATGATATATTTTCCAAAATCAGGTATATGTTTATTATACTACCTTAAGCATCCTACTGCAGCACTATAGAGATGCTAAGGTACTCTTTTTTTTTTTTTGATAAGTGACGTTAAGGTACTCAATTGGGTGTCAAGAATTTTACTAGATATATTAGACTTCCAATAATAGGGGCCATAATTTGGTGTAGTGGTAAAATCTTAGGCTGGCAAGCATGCAAATATGGGTTCAAGTCTGGGGGTAACCAATTTGTGTGAAAAAAATGCCAAAATTAGGACCATACCCAGTCTACCCTCCCAATACCCCAGTCCCCAGATAGCTGGGGCCAACATTGGGTAATGACCTTTTTTATTAGATTTCTAATGATAGAAAGACCAAATGTTCACTTAGCAATCAATTCTTGAACATGTGTAGGAAAGAGCATCATGGGTATGGATGTAAGACCAAATGCACCATTCAATAATAGTTTCTGCAAGTTCAAGGTTTTAGAATGATAAAGGGTGTGCCAAAAGGAACCTAACTCCTAGTAACGAGGAAAATTTTATTATCCCGTTCTCTAACAAAAGATGTCTTGGATAGATCAGAACTAAGTGATGGGAATTTTGTGGTCGTTTGTATGAATATAAAAATGCTAAATATTATCACTTTTTTATCATTAAGGGTCTAAAAATATCTGATCAGTTGGGCATATAAAATATAGCGATTTCCAGCAAATGAAATGTTAATCTGAAGCAAACCCAATAAATAGGTGTAATCATGATCTCTAAGACCATTGCATTCGCTATTTCTTAAAAACAAGCAAAAAGCATTCACTTAATCGTAAAATAGAGAAAGGAAAGATGAGAGCTCAAACATCATGGTGATGGAGAGATCACATACCTTCATCATGGGCAGCTCACCCGCACGAAGAACAACAAACCCAACAACCATAATGTACATTCCTGCACCAAAAAAAAATAATTAAAAGCAAAAAAAAATAGCTAAATGCTCTGTTTCTGCAGAGAATAAAGAAAGAGAGAACACAAGAGAAAGGCTGTCATGGATTAGAGGACCTGTCTTCCATTCTGGGGGACGAAAATCGTTGCTGAGAGAAAGCTCGATAATGCCACTCCCATCATCTAGAACAAAACGCCCCTCCTCGGAGCCTGAGACCAAAACACCCTGCACTCGATATATGAACTAATCCCCAAGGCAGAGAGGCGAAATGGAAAAATAGAAATTTGAAGGGGCATTTTGAAGAATAAAACCTGCAACCAAGCTCGTTGGAAGAGTATGCCGCCGATGGTCATGGCAGACGGCGATGAGGTCGGTTGAGCGTCCTTCAGCTGCCCACACAATAGCTTCAGTGCCGCTAGACTGTAATCCATCTCCCCGTTTCTCTGTAAACGTGCTTGTGTGTGTGGTGGGGTGGGGGGTTACAGAGAGAAAACGAACCTGCTGGTCCAGCTCAAGGGCATAACGGATCGGATCGGATCGGATTTAGGTAGATCTAAGTCGGTTCGTTTATATTTGGGTTCGAAACTTCGAATTATTAAAGCTACATTGATTTTTTSTCAAGGTAGAAAAAAGAAAAAGTTGTTGGTTCCTGGGTGGGAGCAACGTCGCCTTTACTCTTTCTCGCTTTGCTTTTATTTTACAAAGAAGAGTGGTGCTAGATTCAGGCCAGAGCACGTTATAATTTATTTTTATATTTTTATGTTAATAAAAATTATTTTTATTTGTCACACTTTTGTTTAATATGATTAATATAAAATATTATCATATTTGATCAAATGTCTTTTTATATTTTTATTGTTATTTAATTATATCGTCAAAGGTTGATATATTTTTTACCCAAAAGGTTGAATTGTTGATTCATCACTGAATAAAAAACATTCCCTTTTTTCGATTTTAAACTTGTATTTTATTTTTATGATCAACAAAAACAATTATTATTGGACAGATTTAATTTTCTTTAATATGAATTAATTAATATAAGATTCAATGAAAGAATAGATGTTAATATTTTAAATATAATACTTAATAAGAATGGATTGACGAGGAAAAATGTAGTAATTCAAATAAAGAGAAGTTGCCCTGAATAAAAGGAGTTAAAACCTTTCGACCTCGCAAGTAATCCTTACATGAAAAACCCGGAAAGCCAAACATAGGCTTAATCAGTCAACACAGTTTAATCAATGCAGAAGACYTCCCAAACTGGCCCTTAACTTCGGGCACAAAAAGAACTAGAGCTACAATGTAATTAGATGTCCGAGACAAGAGAGAAGCTTGTAATAAATGGAAGGTAAAAAGAATTTACGAAGATCATAAGGAAGTGACTTATGAACAAAATAAAAAATAAAAGAAAGAAAAATGCTGTAACTATAAGGTGGTTTGTAGTAATAGCTTTATTTGTCCATTGCAATTAAACTATTTTTTTTTTCATTAGATGTATGGCCACAAGCACAAACGGTAGCTAGTACATCATGTATAGCAACTAACACAACCTATAGTGACAATATTTCTTTATCTCTTCCACACTTATAAATATACATGGTTTAGGCCTTATTTCTTAGGCAAATTATTTGAATCCTCCTATGTATCCTTGGCACTTGAAGTTTAGGGTTCAACTATGATGCCGGAAAGAGATAATACATGAAAAAATTACAATCAGGTGGTTTTTCACCAAGTTTTAGTGACATGTTCATGGGTCGGATTTCAGGCTTGACTTACACTATGTCAAGCTCAGATTTTAGGTTGGATTCATTCAAATTTTAGCAAAAGTTAAGTCCGAGCCCAACCCATAAACAGGTCAATGATTCATGGAATTGTGATTGGTAAAACCATTTTAATATCATGTCTTTCTATTGTCTTATATATTTCCCTTTAGCAAGGTTCAAAGTATCAATATGATACGAGTTTCGGCCGTATTGTATCAACACTTAGAAACGGCCAAAACTCTTTTTTTTTAGTTTTTTTTCAAAGTTTGGTTTTTTGGAAAGTTTATAACCTGTTTTTTATTATTAAAAAAGATTTGGGGTCCGAAACACCTGAAAACAAGCGTTTTGGACCGTATCGTTTTCAAAAGATATGATACGATACGCCCAATACCTTGAACCTTGCCCTTTAGTTTATTTATCTTATTAATAATATGTAATTTTGATTATTTTGTTTTAATTTATCATTAATTTTGTAGAAAAAATCAATTTAATTTATTAATGCTATTCGGTATATACTTTACAACATTTTGTATCCAATCCGATCCGAATATAAACGATTTAGATTCGGATCTACCTGCATCCAATCCGATCCGTATGCAGCCCACTTAGCCGTACCTATAACGATGAAGAATGATAAAGTACTATTACCGTATCATTACCGTTACTCCGTTAGCGTGGTTCAGGGAGCAGTGGGGAAAGCGTCCTCTTTAGGCTTCTACCGCTAGATGGTCCGAATGAGTACAGATCCAGTTCCGATGAATAGTGGACGGCGTAGATTCTGTCACGGACGCTTGTCGTCATGAGGCTGTCATCTCTGTTCGAAAGAGATCGGTTCCGGAGAGGTCTACTTGGAGTTGCATCGTAGGAATTGAAAGGGTGGTTGTTGGTTGGGTGATTTTTTTCCCCGTCGGCGAAGGTATTGATTCCAGGATCCACCGGCGAAGGGTAAAGTGCAGTCAGACTCTGTTCGGATGGTTGGTCGGATTTCATGGATGAATCTAGCAAACAACAAGTACTTTCTCTCTCTCTTGGAAGATTTTTTTTCTTTTTTTCCCCGATTTTTTTCGTCAAATTCTTCAGTTAAATTTCAAACTGATAGTTGTGCAGTGTTGTAGATAGAGAAAAAGTTGTATGTGTTTCGAAATTTGTGGTTGATTATACTGTTTAATCGTTTATGCTTACTGGTTTTGGTTGTTTGCTTAGGTTTCGTTGAGGGGAGCGAGTGCCAAGGAGATCACAAGAAATGCCCTACTTGAGAAAGTCTCACATGAAAGAGAGCTCCGCAGTTATACCAGACGAGCTGCAGCTGTTGCTATCTTTATTCAGGTGCGTTTCGTAATTACAGATTCAAACTATAAATTCTGTCCTTTTTTTTGGTAAAAAAAAAGTCTGTCAATCAGTGGATTTTCTTTTCCTAGTTTTTTTTTCTCTTTTTCCTTTGATTTTAAACTGACCAACAAATTTAGTGAATAAATTTTCTCTGTGAATCAAACATCTGTTGAAATGTTTTTAAAATGAGCAGTCTAAGGACTCTCCACTATCACCTTTTGTACTTAAGCTCGCTATCATTTTTTTTTTGTTCATTTTAAAAATTTATTCATGGTTAATAGATATGATTTAATACATCGTGTTTGTAGCTAGATTAATTCTCTTCATTTCACTTATTTGGTTTGAGATTCTACTGTGTTGATCTTTATATCCCTTAAAAGATGCTTTCTGGTAGTTAAACGCATGATTATAATGTAATAATAGATTATTTGCTTACAAACAATGTGGAAAAAAATGATCTGGTCCTTCAATTTCTCAGAAAGTCTGGAGGCGCTACAATGTGACAAAGAAGGTGGCTGCAAAGCTCCAAGAAGAATGGAAAGCTTTAGTGAATCATCAGGATGTTTTGTTGAGCAGCAGATGGGTTTCCAGCAGTTTGTTAAGGCCTTTTCTTTTCTTTATTACTCATTCGGCAACTGTAAATCAGAAGCTAAGGGAAACAGATATTAAGTGCACACTGGTTTGCTTCAAAATTCTATTAGAAAGCATAAATTCAACTGGTAATCTATATTCATCTCATTTATCTTTTTTTTGTTTGAATTATGTGTCATAGTCTGTTTATTTCATTTTAAAAGACATGGTCCTTGTGGTCACTGATGGATTGCATGATATAATAATAGTGCTGCTTGATATTTGATTGCTTTTAGAACAAAGTATTTGAAGCGTAAACGTTCATGGTGTCTTAGCCAAGTTAAGATACAATAGGAGTATAGGCCCATTGTTAGTAAGGCATGGTGTGCAAAAAGACTGTGTGGAGGGAAGGAAAAACAATCAAAACAAAGCACAAGGTTAAAAGGGAAGAACTTTTGCTTTTAGGCATTGTTCGTTTTTCTGTAAATGGGGGCGGGTAAGTGAAGAATGGATGCCATCCAATGGTGCCAAGAGGGAGAATTGCAGTTCAAGACTTTTGTGATGTGCTGAATTCAAGTTCAGCATATCGGTTTAGGTTTTTTCAAACCGAAATTCACCCAAGATTGTTGGATTGACCTCCAAGATTTTTGTTAAGATTTCTCAGACCAAAAGTGAAGAACCTAAATTCCCATACCTGAAGTTTTGGCAGTCTGACAGTCCACAAGTGAAGATCGTCCAAATGTTAGTTCACGTTGGATCACCCTATTGCAGTCTCATTTATAGAATGTTTATTTTTTGATAATTGTCTCATTGATACAATGTTGGAGATGAAGATGACACACCTCCAAGATTGCTCCTTGATCCCTGATGAACCAGCAAGGATTTGCCTCTGAAATAACTTTGAAAGTTGGTCAATCGATGCCTTGATATTCTCCAAGAACAGGTCTGAATATTGTCCAAGATTGGGAGACAAAACCCTAACAAGCATTTTAGGTTTTCTTTAACTAGTGCTGAATTTTTTTCTCACAAATTTTCTCAAAAGAATAGTGTGCAAGAAGATGCATGATCTTGTTGACCAAAGGGTTTATATTAGCCTTAGAGTCCAAGAAATCTTGCCTAAACCCTCTCTTAATCTGATTAGGAAAGTCACGATCTAATTGGAGTTTCTAATTCAGCTAGGACTTTGATTAGTCAAACTAGTCGTTATGACTCTAACTAGAACTCTTTTTTATTAGAGCTTAACCTGCATTAGGTTACTTATAAATCTTATCAGGGATTAGGATCAGTGAGAAAAGGTGTCCATGTAGCATGGGACCGACAAGATCTTAGCCCAAGTTAATTATAAAAGAATGATCCACACTTCTCTTATGTGTAACCTACACATGGGCTGAATTTAGCTTGTCTATGCAAGTGAATTCACCGAAGTGTGTTGGGCCCAATAATTGGCCCATTAAACCTTTTATTTAAACTCGGGTCTCAGCCACCTTATGAGACCAAGATTATTAATTTGGGCCGAGTTAATGTCCACCAGGTATTTAAGGCCTAAGAAGACACTTGCATAAAATCTCTCGGCTAATAATATCACAACACTACCAATAGGGAAGGATCTCTTCCCTAATTGCCAAATGTAGAGCAGCACCCTCTACTCATAATGGATCCCAGGATGAAAACCATTTGCAAACTCATTATCAAAATATACTATTTATAAATATAAATAGATTTTGCAAAACGATTTTCATAACATGTTAAAATCTCATTGTTTGACAAAGTGGTTGAACCTATCACAATGACCACTCACTAAAGTATCTTATTGCTTCAACAGAGTGGCTGAACCTATCATTGTCAAGTCAGGGGATTAAATGCAATCATCAAAAAAAAAAGTCAGAGGATTAACTGAAACTTTCCAGTTTTACTCATCTGTCTCCAAGGTCCAAGGTTAAATTGGAAATGGTCTCGTTCGGTGTTTCTCAAACACCCATTCATTGTACCCTAGGTCCAACTCGAGCAATTGAGATAGACTGCTCCACCATTTCAACAGTAGAAGAGCGTCAGCCTTGGCATGATAAACTCCCAAAGTTTATCAATTGGCTGAGAACATTTTAAGCTAACATAAGTCTCATAAATGCCTAGGTTAAGGGGTATTACATAGAAACATACCATATACACATGAAATAATAATGAACTGAACTTATTGAATAACAAATAGTAGTTTGCATCACTTTTGTTGGAGATGAGGGCATATACTGTCTGAAAGTAAGATGGTCAATGCGAGAGTTGACCAATTTATCCGCATTTCTTTTTCGGTATTAATGGGTCCCATAGAAAAGAACAGTTCCCAAGAGCAACAGTTACCTGGGTAAGTACCCTTCACCCACTTGGGTAAATAACTTTCCCGCCTGCTAGGAAAATTGCTAACATATGATGGGACAACATTATCCCTTCAATAATGACACTTTTATGGATAAAATGGCCATTGTTTAACTTCACCCTGGGAAACAAAAGAACATTGGTAAGTGCTTCCCAAGAAACATTGCCCAAGTAAGCACATTTACCCAGGTAAATGGCTTCTCAAAAATTGGACAAGGCCTTAATGGCTCTTTCTTTGGGGCTTATAGCTCATGGTGATTCAACAAGGGTAGAATATTGGCAGTTTTACATTGTCTGAAATTAGGGAGACAATTAAACTACAAGGGATCATTGTRGAAGGGGATCCAAAGGTAGTGGTAGGATGCTGAGAAGTAATGCACATGCAACATGGAAGCATAGATACACTTTAAGGGAAATCAGATCAATAGCAGAGGAATTATATGCTATTTTTCAGTGGGTTCCTAGAACTGCTAATAGTATGGCTGATGGATTAACAAAGCAAGGGATAAACTGAATTGATTTGTATTGGGGGGAAATTCCAAGGGGAACCTGAGGTAAGACATGGTGGGGTAGATAGCTTAAGCTGGTCTACAATCTTTACATTATAGATTTGTACATTCTGGTTATATTAATATTTTTTGTTGTTTTTTTTTTGAGAAAAGGTAACAATTATAATCAAAAGGTGCCAAAAAGGGGGGGATGTAAATGAGAGGATGTACAAACAAAACATTAAGGAAGAACTTACTTGATGTTACCAATAAAAAAAGGAAGGGCTTCCCTGCTTGACTTTTGAGGTACCACAAACCCTTCCCTTTTGACTTTTTCTTTCTTTTCCTTTTTTTTTCCTTTTCTTTTGTTGGGGAGGGGGAGTTGAAAAGAAGAGACTAAAATAAGTAAATAAATTTAATCAGACATGCTTGTAACCTGTTGTCACTAAATGAAGATTGGAATAAATTTTATCCTCTTAAAGCTTCAATAATAGAAAAGAAACAGAAGAAACAGAGGGAAAAAGGACTCCTGACACCATAATAGATTAATTATATGCTTAGGCTATGAAAAAAATGAATATGATATTATTTTTTCTGCACTTTAATGGCATAAGAATACAACAAGACGTTAAACAACTTGTTTAGTGAGCTAAGAACTGTGGTTGCCTAATGAAAAAGAAGGCTACAAAGTGACTACCTACCAAACAACCTAGGAAGTCAAAGTAATTGTTTTATCAAATTTCCCAAGCAAGTATTTCTTTCACTTGAGACTGCTGTTTACCTGGGGCATTGAGCCAAAACTGAGGTTATACTTTAAAATTGTGACAGAATCTGGTTTTGGTATTTAGCTTATGACTATACAATCATGGCAGAAATTAATTGAGCAAAGCTTGACATATCATGATGTTGCTATCACAGGGTGCTCAGTTGTATGGGCATTTTGTATATCGTGATAATTGATATAGAATTTTAGGGTGAAACCAGATACCATTCTTGAGCTCTGTAGACAAGAGGAATCCTGCTGACAATATCACGTGTCATGTGGGAACTTCGCATTTTGTGCCAAAATTTTAAACATGGCATACAATTGAAAAGCTCAGAAAAAGTTCATTTTTCTCAATAAAGTTTTTAGTACAATAATAGGATTTCAAAAATATTGTGTGACAATGCATAATATTTAATGGTTTTAATGCAACAAACATATTAAACAGAGTGTTACCGGTGCCAATCTTTTGTTTAACTGAAAATTTTTGCCTTATTTTGTTCTTGGAATAAATTGTGGATGAACTTCTCTTCTACATGTTTCTTCTAGATGCAAAAACTCCAAATTATAACTTAATAACTATGAATAGAGAGCGAGTGGAAGCAAGCCTAGCGTAAAATTTTTAGGGAATACGTTTAGTAGGCGTTGAAGATGAAACAAGTTCCAAGCTGATGTTTTAACATCGTTATGATTTCATTGTCCACAAGAATATTTGAAAATATAATAAACAACATTAAGGACCACATGTATAAGGCATCTTAATGATCTGCAAACAATTAGTGTTATTTTGTTATGTACAAAATCAGAGGAAATATGTGAAAATTGGTATGATCTACATATATAGTGTTAGCTGGTGTTGGTGTGAAAATTTTAATAAATTCTCATGCAACATAATTCACTCAATCAAGTGATTGAGTTTTTATTATTTTGGGTAAGGCCCATTCAGGGAATCATACGGATTGTTCCCCTTAATTACATCTCCACAAGAAAGTAGAGAACACCTTTTGATTCTGACTTRGAGAAATGAATGCATAGAACAAAAGAAAAGAACAATAGGGTACTTAAAAAGAACTTTTCATTTGCGTTTCTTTTACATCAAGTGTACAAGAATGAGAAGAAATAAAAAGAAAATACAATTGAGAAACTATACAACAATACATTTCTCTTTTCTTTTTGATACAAAGAAAATTTCCTTCTCACTCCTTTCTTCACAATAAGCTGTAGTCAATCAGATGAAATTCTGACTGCAGACGGCCTTAATCCTTGGATTTTTGCATACAAAAAGGGAACCGTAGTCAATGAAACTGAATATTTGATTGTAGACGGTTTTTATCCCTCTGCTCTTCATTTTCATTTGAAGGGAACCATAATCAGCCCTTGAGAATTAGACTGTAGATGGTTTAGTCCCTAACTTTGTCTCGAAAGAGGGACCATAATCAACCAAGTAGAGGCACCTGGTTGTAGATGGTTTATTTCCCTCTATTTCCTTTCTCAAAAGTGAAAATAAAAGAGAGAAAGAAGGATACATAGCAGAAGACATATATAGGAAGTATTCACAGAGAGGATTTTCGTTTTTTTTACCTGTATTAGTGAGACTTTTCCTTCCCTGCCTTCCCTTGAGCACTTCTTTCTTCTCTCTTTATCTTTGCTTTTCTTAAGGATCTCTCGAGATAATTTTCCCCGAAGAGTGTCTCCACTCCTAGCTTCCCCTTAAGGAGCTTAAATAGGGAGTGGGGTAGTTATGTAACTACCTCCTCCCCCTAGGTGAAGGATACCTGTCCCTCCCACTTAAAGAGAGGGAACTTCCATACGGGATACTTTTCTATAGTTTTGATGATTTAGCTATTAGACTAGCCAACCCACTTATTTGAGTTATAATTTATTTAAATATTATTTGGATTAAAAAAATGCCTTCAACAGCTGGTATTTGAACAATTGGGTGTGAGAGATGAATTTCCATTTACAGTACACCAGAGGTTGGCCTCTATCTTTTTTCTTTTGGCTCAGTTTGGAAGGAATACAAATACAAATATGTACAGTACAAATTCCTACAAAATATAAGGTTTTATGCTCTACATATTGGTATTTGTACTCCTTCCAAATGGAGCCTTTGTTATAGATGCCCAATTGTAATATGCACGACAAGGTCATTGATGTTGCTATTACATGACCCTGCAATGCTGTCTGAGAATTAATACTTTGATGCAAGTCAAGGTTCTTTGAGGCCTTCTAGAAGACTGAGTGATGTTGATGAAGGAGTCTAAAAAGGTTCAAAAGGACACATTCTTAAGTCTTAAATAAAAGATATGACTCCACATTGAATGGAATTGCAGAGTAAAATTCATATTGCTGATAGCTTATCCAAATAATTGACAAGGCACTGATAATTATAACAAAATTAAGACCTCTGTACATGCGATATAGTGATGGTTCGATGATATAATGTTAGCTTCAAGGATCTAGATAAATTTAACTTCATTGATGAACTAAAAATGTTAAGACTTAATCACTTGATGAGTTGATGTACAATTTATATCATGGAAGAACTACTTCAATGCCAAGGGAACAACAGAAGTTTAATGAGATAAAGTTAAAATTTTAGAACAAAATCCAGGAAGAATTACAGGGAGAATTGGACTAAACTTGTGTTGGAACTGCATCATGATACATGATTATCCTTGGATTCAAAATTCAGATGCAAAACAGGTAGTTGATTGTGTTTGAGGTCTTCCTTTACGAGGAAATCCATTGGACTTATTGGTCTGGCCCTGCTGTATGATTTGGTCATTTACTTATCTATTTATTAATAAATTTTCACATCATTTATAAAAGAACAAAAGGTTATAAATACTACCATTGATAGGTTTTAGATCCATGTTGCATGGGTAAGGAGTTTTGTGCTTGAAAAGGAAGTATTAGAAACATGCATTGCTCTATTTTAATGTTCAGATCTTAGGGTATTTCAGTGACTTGTATGTGCTGTATTTTTTTTTTAATAATGCATAGTCTAATTTGCATTATTATTTTCTAGCCCTTGTGCTTATTATGCTAATTTTTTTACTTGTTAAGTATATCTAACATTGATCTTTATCATCTTTAACTTGTAGAACTTGAGTCATTCTTGTGTATTTATGGCATTTACTTGCATTTATCCATTTTAGTTTCTCTTCTTGGTAACAATTGCACTGATCTTTTCACTGTCCTTGATTTGTAGCATTAGAGAAAAACTTTTGTTCTCTGGCTTCTGGTACACATGAGGAAAGAAGGACATGGCTTTACCAAGCACAGAAGATGATTTCAATATGTTTGTTCATTCTTGCTGAATATGATAACACCTGTTCAGGGAATCAAGACGGTATTCTTCTCACTACTTTAGCAATGCGCCTCGCTGTTGCTTTAACTGATCCAAAAGGATGGAAGAGTGCTAGTAATGAGAATCTCAGAGATTCAGATAGTGCAGTAAGAGAGTTAATCAAATGTACTGTAACTGGAAAAAGCCAAGTGTACAATTCTATTAGAAGATACATTATTAGATTGGATGCTGGTTCTGCATCACGAAGGAATTGTGGTGTACAGACAGATGACCGTTTTTTGATTACTGCAAGTGCAATAACTTTAGCCTTGCGGCCTTTTCATGTTGTAAAATTAGATACAAATTATCCTTGCTTATTCGATGTTCAAGATGCTGCAGTGCAGTACTGTATACTTCTACTTACAATTCCTTGGCTTTCTCAACGCCTTTCACCAGTTCTCTTACCTGCTTTGAAACATAGGACCGTTCTCTCACCTTGCCTTAAAGTGCTACTGGTAAGGTTCATCAAGGCTGAGCAAAGTCATCTTAAAAACTTGCTCTTGATAAATGAGTTTCATACTAGTCTTTTCCCTTAATCTCTTTATGTTCAAAATAGATTTTAGGAACAGATTCTCCAAGTTGCCAGAATGTTTGTTGTTTGCATATTTCATGGTTCGTTTTTTCTTCTTTTAGTTTTTAAGTAACTGATATTTCTCTATGTTATTCTTAATCTAGTAGAGTAGAACAATTAATTATTACATTAAACTGAAATATTAGATCTGTTATTTTGGTTGAAGACCCTTCACATGTTTTTGTCTTATCTGTTAGTATGAAATATTACATCTTCTATTAATGGGAACCTTTGTTATTCTATATAAAATGTAATGTCTAATTTAATAAAATCCGGACCAGAAAAATTTACCTCGCTAGGGGAATGGGTTTGTCTTGTCTTTTTGCACTAGTAGATCAAGGTGGTTTTACCTTGTGATCAGCTTGTGTTTTTCTTTTGAGTGGGGGGAAAGGGGTTTGAGTTTTTCATAAAGCATTAGTTAGGCTTCAGTTTTCTGATATTTAAAGCTTGTCTAGAATGGATAAGTAGGTTTGGTGGCAACATTTGGGCTAGGATCCCTTTCTATTCATGGTAATCGTTTGATACCTTTCACATTCTTATTTCTTCTGTCCTGTTATATCACTGGTAAAGATGATAAAAATTCAAAATTTAGATAGATGTTTGTAGAATGGGGATGGTGGGGGCATTTTTCAATTATGTTCCCTTTGCCTTTTGTAATAAATAAGTTTGCAATGTTCATGCATGCTTCCATATCCATATTGTCTTTATTCCTTGTGGTTTTTTTTATAATTTAGGTCCTGTGGTAATTTTAGGCATTTCTTCAAAATTGAGGGAAGCAGAATCCTTTAAATTGCAAAAACATAAATTACACACACATATATTACAGTGGAAATATTGGAACATGGATGTTAGCTCACTCAAAATGCCACTTGTGTTTTCATCTACAATGGCACCTTTTACTTAAGGTTTGAAAATAATACTTTCAAAGTGTAGAGCTTTCATAATTTCATAGTTTCAATCTATTCATCTCTATACAGATCTTTGTTGTAATGAGAGGTGTTGAGTTAAATAACCAATTTTGGACTGTAAGGTGGATAGGATGATGTGGCATCATGTTCTTAACCTCTTTGTGTTGTTTGAAATTCCTATTATATTTGCAACTTAATTGCCTAGCAGTCCATAATTTTCTCTTGCTTTGGTCACTTTGCTTATTTGGATGCCCGAGTTGGTCATGAATAATGATTGTCAGATATCTTGGATAAGTTGTGTTCATAATGATTGTGCGCATTATGTCAACTTATCTCTTAACTCTTATCCATATTCTTGAATAGGAATTAGGGAAAGTATTGCCAGGATATATTTTTGCTAGTGCAAAGGGGACTGGCATATATTAGAAAATTGTTTGGGGCTGTGTTTGTTTCATGTAAAAGGACCAAAATTATAATTGAAATTTTTCATATTGAAAAGTCTCCTCCTTTTACAGTGAAATGAACAGAACCTCTATGTAAAAACTCTTGAACAATGGGAGAATCTTCCCATGGGTTATAAATAAAAACATGCTTTGGCAATATTATTTCCATTTGGATATTCTTATATATTTTAATTATAATGTTTGTTGTTGATAAGAAAGAGAAGTTCAGAAGTTGCCTGGTGTCACTTCCACTGTTTCAATTTTCATAAGTGATTTCAACATTCAATTTCATTAACTTATTCAATGAACAAATTCTATTTTTCTCTTTGATCTGTGTTGCTATCTGTTTTATTACAATCACAAAAATGAGGGAACTGATCAAACTATGGCAGGTGGTGGCAGATGTCAAAGGAGAAAATATTTTTGGAGATGCCAAAGTTAGATCTGTCAAAAATACCTGGTTGCTGTACTGAAGTGATTCCATGTGTAGGTTGGGCTCTTGCAAACATCATAAACCTGGCAACAGAAAGTGTGAATGACTCTGTTAATCCTGGACGGTTTGCACAAGACCTGAAGTGTACATTATATGTTCATGTTGTTGGCATCATTGCAGAAAATTTATTGGTTATGCTTGACAATGTTGGAAAAACAAGGAAGGAGAGCCATGAATATATTGATACTATTGATGATTCTACAGAAGCTGTTAACCCAGGAGATTTGGGAAATGAAATGAACAGGTCCTTGAAGATATCATACATAGACCTTCTTAAACCTGTCCATCAGCAGTGGCATCTTATGACACTTCTGGCAAAGATAAATAAGGATGTCTATATTCAGGGGATTGGTACCTCTTCACCAAACCGGAGCCCCCCATACCCTGGGAACTTGAGATTTCTTGATATTTCATATTTTTATTCTTACATGCTGAGAATATTTTCGTCCTTAAATCCTATAGGTGGCCCCCTGCCTGTTTTGAACATGCTAGCTTTTACTCCTGGGTTTCTTCTAGATCTATGGGGAGCACTTGAAATTTCTATTTTTGTGGGAAAAAATCACATTTCTGTGGGTGATATGCCATTCAGAAGTGGAACATCTGGTAGTCAAAATGATGCAAGCTTTGAGAAGAAACAAAGAAAGATCCCAAAAGATACAGGAAATAAATGGGCTACCGTACTACAAAAAATCACTGGCAAGTCACCATTGGACATGGATCATACTCATTCAACTGATGACCCACCTAAGCTTGATCAGCTCGATGGTGATCCTTGTGACTCATGGGATATTGAGCCTCTGAGGCAGGGTCCACAAGGTATTTCAAAAGACATGGCTTGCCTGCTGCATCTGTTCTGTGCTACATATTCACATCTATTATTGATTCTTGATGACATAGACTTCTATGAGAAACAGGTAAAGCAATTCTAGTTTTCCCTTAAGTATTGGAAAATATTTATTTATGTCTGATTTTCTTTTTATCCTTATTCTGGCATGGGCAGGTTCCCTTCAAGCTGGAGCAGCAGAGAAGAATTGCAGCAGTGCTCAATACATTAGTTTATAATTGCTTTTCTCATAGTAATGGCCCACAAAATACACCATTGACGGAGGCTGCAGTGAGATGCCTCCATCTCCTCTATGAAAGGGATTGCAGGCATCCGTTCTGTCCTCCTGACTTGTGGCTTTCACCTGCTAGAACGAGTCGGCCTCCAATTGCAGCAGCTGCAAGAGCTCATGAAGTGATATCTGCTAATCTGAGATCAGGGRATGCTTTAACTATTCCAAGCATGGGTTCTGTTATCACAACCATTCCACACGTATTTCCATTTGAAGAACGGTAAATTATTAGACAAATAGAATTTTCTGATCTTTTCACAGGCATAGCAATTCAAATAGTATATTACTGAAATGAAGAAAAAGTAGTAGTACATCACAGGGACAATAGAGATAAGGAATTCTATTTGGCCAGGACTCTTTTCTCTACTCCAATGTCTGAAATTGTGCTCAATTCTGAATTCAACAAGAGTGGAAGTGGAGGGTGATTTAGAAGTGGTGAAGGGGTGAATGAGAGGAAGGGGACTTGCTCTTTGGACACTCAAACATTCACTCAGGGAGGCTAGATTTCTAGCTAGTAATCTGAACATCTCATTTAGATGGGTTAGAAGGATTGCTAATGTTCTAGCAGATTGGATTGCTAGAGAAGGGGTGAACTGGATGGACCTATTCTGCAGCCTGCATTTCCATTGCAGGTCAAGGGATTTTTTTTTCTTTGATTGATATCAGGTGAATTTATTGTAACAACTAACATGGGATGAGTAAGACAGGAGGGGAACACTGTATCTCACTAAATCTACATCGCACATTGAGTATAGACATGAGAATAAGAGATAATGAAAATTTTGTAACAGGTTGGCCTTCTATTAATCCCCTCTCCCTATTGCCTATCTAGGAATTTGTCATAATGAGCTTGGCAACCAAAAAACAAGATGTTACCACAAACGCTATCTCTTGTTGTAGCCTGTAGGTGCGTTCATCTAAGGTCATGGCCTATGAATATTAAATGACTGTTCTGGAGAATGTTTATATATTTTCTAGCCTTTTTTTTATCAAAGCTAAATTACTGTAGCCGAAGTAGCAGAAAAGAGAAGAAGAAGAAGAGATGCTGGAATGTCGAACTGCTCTGCTCAGTCGACAGTACTATTATTTATATTATGGTGTAGTACAATGATACAGGAAGTTACTAGAATGCCCCTGATTAGTGATGGAACACCCAGACAACTTAAAACATTAAACAAGATTAGGCCCATTAACAAAGGCCCAGTACAAGACAACTTAAACTTAGGTATAGGCTAATAAGAACTCTTATCAGCCGAATACTCATACATACAAAGACTTCAATCCAACATCAATAACAGTAACTTCCATTAATGGAGAATGAGCTTACAGAGGAGGAGAGCTAAAATATCTTTACTCTCCAAATATGCCAACATACAACCAAATTGAAAATGAACAATTACATCTGAGCCCAAAAAACAAAATTCCTATTCACCCCTTGCCTAGCTAATCCATCTGCAAATGAATTTGCACTTCTCTTTACCCAAGTGCATTGAACTTCAATGTCCTTAGTCAGCCATTTAAATTTCCTCTTTTCATTTCTGTAGTTCCAGAGCCTAGAGTTGTCTTCTTTTAACCAGCTCACTACAGTTTCAGAGCCTATTTTCTAGCTTTTTTTAGTTGTTCATTAAACTCTGTCATAAATGTAGTTCATCTATGATTGTTCTTTTTACCAACACCCTTAGACGCTCTGGTTGAATTTGACAACTCATTGGAATTAATTGGTATAAATAATCTCAGTTTTCTATATAACCTTATTTTCTGAACCTTTCTTGCATTTTCTTTCTTCTTGTTCATGAATTTCCTCATATATCTAATTCCGAAAATTCTGGTAAAGGTGCAACTTTGAGAAAGAACTGAACAGAAATACTTTAATGTATCGTAGTGAAGGTTTAAAATGTTGGTATCAGTGGAAATATTGATCATCCAAATGTATCATTAGTCACTCTAGATTTCCTTAACTGGAAAAGCCTGAAAAGAATTGGGGGAGGAAGAAAGGACAAAAAAAAAGCGTAAGTGAACAAACTGGACAAGTTTGCAATCCAAGTTCTACAATCAGAATTTGAGTTATCAATGAAGACCCCTTATAAGGATTTCAGCAAATTCAATACTTCAAACACTTCAAAGTACCTCAAACCTCTCCTTAGACCAATATTGAGATCCAAACCGAAGTTGAACAAGCAAACACAATGGGGGATGGTTTTGTTCTTGTAGGAGATAGAAAAAATGTTTGTGAAAGCATCTTTCAAAGGCCTCCTCCCACCACCACCAAAGTGCTGGTTCCAACTTGTCCAAAAGAGTATTTTCTTCAATGTATTTCTGGGCTTTTTTTGTTTAAAGTAATTGGTAAAGAGAACTTATTGGTGGATTATTTCATTGTGTACCATCAATTCTTGTGGTTAAACAGTTTGTCAGGCTATGATATTTTAAAATCGGCATAGGAATTTAGTTTTTTCCTATTACTGCTTGGAGTATGATATCATTTTGGGGTTGCCTTTCCTCAAGTTATTTTGCATCTGGTCCTCTTTTTGATTAGTAAGATTTGGCACCTTTTTAGGAGCTAGATGATTGTATGCTTCTCAATTTTGTATTAACAAAGATCTTTTATCTGGTTACTGATAAAAAAAGAAGCTGTTCTAAAAGTATCTATGAATGGTTTAAAAAATCTGACACTTTAGGTTGTAACTAGTAAGTAGTAAGAATTACCCTTGCAGCCTAAGTGGAGGGATGCTTGATACTTGATTGTAAATTGTAAAGATGATGGGCTGGGCTGCCCCTTTTTCCCATTATTGGGCCAGTTTTCTTTCTTTTTATTGTCCATAAGTACCCACCTTATTGAGGGCACTCTTGTAATTGTATCTGACGGTTACAATCAGATTTATAAAAGTGATTAGGGGACTGAAAAGAGCATTGATACACTCTCTTCTTTCTTCCCTTCTCTTCTTCTTCTGAACTCTTTCTTCCTCCATCTTTCTCCTTCTTCGGTTTTCTCTTTTAGGCCCATACAGTGTATGGAGAACTGATTGGCTGATAGATTAACAGCTTACACAGCCCAGTTGGGGGAGGGTTTCAGAGAAGAATATAGTCTTTGTTTGAGCCCAAGACAGATTCTTGGAGAGTTTCCTGAAAACCCTATAAAACTAGAGAATTTGAATTAAGGGGGTCTAAAGATAGTTTTAAGCTGGCGCTTGGGGCTAGAAGAGAAGGTTCTTGATCAATATTGAAATTGATCCAGGTTGGGAAGATTTCTGGAGTTCCAGGTAGGAGTGGTTAGACTTTTTCTCTTCCTCCCAGGTTGTCATGTCCTATGAAACCCTAATTTTGGTGATTGGAGAGCAGCTTTGACTTTAGGGAAATGATTCTGGGTTAGTAGCACCCAATTTTTATTTTCATGTGTTTCCGTTTAGCCAATGGAGCAAACTAGAGGTGAGGTCCCTGAATAGGTTTTGATTCTCCAACAGACTTTATTAAACCAGTAGAGAGAAAGGAGATTCAAAGGTATAGGTTCTTAATAAAGGGTACTCAAGATCCAACTTTTAAGCATGTCAGGAGAAGCAAATTAAATTACAGATGCAAAAAAGACTAGCCTCTACCCTGGTGCAGAGTTTCTCCAATATCACATAGCTTTCCCAGTAGCTCCTCTGGCTAGACTATTTTATAAGGTGTCTTAATTCCAAGTTCCAACCAATAAACTCCACTGATGGTTACCTGAAAATCACCCTTCACTTGTTTCATCTGGAAGCCCAAAGATTAATCAACTTGAACCATTGTAGAAGCAACTGCAGTAGCACCTGATCCCATAAAAAATAGCATTGCCATCACTTTTTAAATATACCAGAAGGATCACTTACCTTTGATCTTTGAAAGTGCCTCCAAACCCAAGGGACCTTGGTGGCTTGGATGAGGGTACTCATAGAGCTTTGTAGCTCTATGGGTATATGTGGAGAGGGTGAATAGGTGATAACTCCTGAACTATGACATGGGTCCGTATGTCTTTTTTCACCACTACAATCCTCATTTTGTTGTTGCTCAATGTCTAATTTGAACCTCAATTTTATCTTGAAATAGTCTCTGGTGCAGTAATTTGATCCCGAAGCATGTAGCTAAATATCTTAATTGAATTTCTCTTGAGGCTACGCTACCCTTAGGTTCCTCAAATGCATATATTTCCAACCTTAATTTAAACTTACTAGTATTTCCACATTTGCTCCAAAGCCCTGGGGCTAAGGTTTTGTGTCTATCTGCTTGAGTTGATTCTGAATTATCAATTATTGGGACTTCAGCTGGAGTTCTATGGAAAATGATTTCTGATAGAGCTGATCCATTTGCAGGGTTCAGATGTTTAGAGAATTTATCAAGTTGGACAAAGCTTCTCGAAGAATGGCAGGTGAAGTGGCTCGACCGGGTCCAGGTTCAATAGAGATAGTAGTTCGCCGGAATCATATAGTTGAAGATGGATTTAAGCAGTTAAACACCCTTGGGTCAAAGCTAAAATCATCGATACATGTTTCATTTGTCAGTGAATGTGGCCTTCCAGAGGCTGGCCTGGACTATGGTGGTTTGTCCAAAGAGTTCTTGACTGATATCTCAAGAACAGCTTTTGACCCTGAGTAAGTTTGAATAAATTTCTTCATTATAAGATGACAACTCTGTCATTCCATATCAAGAGTGTTCTTCCAATGTAACAGCCGAAATTCATCTTCACCTTTGCAGGCATGGATTGTTTTCTCAGACCTCAACTTCAGAAAGACTTTTAATTCCTAATACAGCAGCGAGGTTTATGGAGAATGGGATCCAGATGATTGAGTTCCTTGGGAGAGTTGTTGGGAAAGCACTTTATGAAGGAATATTATTAGATTATTATTTTTCACACGTTTTTGTACAAAAGCTTTTAGGCCGTTATAGTTTTCTTGATGAACTATCAACATTAGATTCAGAGCTGTACAGGAATCTTATGTATGTAAAGGTAAACTTTCTTGTTATATAAGAGGAAATTTTAAGCATAGAACATTTCATTTATGTGTGCACAATATCCCTGACTTGTAGGATCTTTAGTAGAGTAGTAAATTATAGAAGTAGAATACTATATGAATAAACCCTGCATCGAATTTTGTATCATACTAGGTGTATTTGCCTGTTTTGGAGGCCATGTTGCAATTTCATTTCATTTAATCCTTAGGAATGTTAATGATTTAAATGTTTATTCACCTGCTCAAACACATGATTTCTTAATTTTCCAATTTGTTTYGACTTTTATTGGCTTTATTTCTACAGAATTATGATGGTGATGTCAAAGAACTCTCCTTAGATTTCACAGTTACTGAGGAAATACTAGGCAAACGGATTGTCACTGAGCTTAAACCCGGTGGAAAAGATGTTGCTGTCACAAATGAGAACAAATTGCAGTATATTCATGCCATTGCAGACTATAAACTTAACCGTCAGGTACAAAATGTAGTGCCAGATCTGCAAGATTTTGATCTTTTTTGTTTCAACGTAGTATATTTTTCCTTGCTTCTGGATGTTGGTTTGCAGATATTGCCTTTGGCAAATGCATTTTACAGAGGGTTGATTGATCTGATATCACCATCCTGGTTGAGCTTATTTAATGCAAGTGAATTTAATCAGGTGTGGCCTTTTCATACTTTCACTTCTTTTTATCCTCCTCCCTTTCCTCATAGGAATATCATTGGTATTTGTAAGTTATTTTCTTCCTTGGAGTCCTTGGTAATTGGAATTGAAGTATGCTACAATTTTAAGTACTTAAGCTATACCTACCTCATGAGTCATGAATTATACAATTCATAGTCCGTTAGTCATAAGTGAAATTGTTAAGTTCTAAATTGGGTTAAAAGGAATTATTGGTTTCTTTTGGTCAATGGATGTGCAAGCCTACTTCATGTTGTAATAATTACCATTTGGAGGAGAGAAACACCAATATATCTGCATTGCTACGAAGGAGAAAGACTTGGAAGTTATGTCATTGCCTGTGCATTTTATGCAAGAAAAGTGGGGAGACTATTAATAATCTTTTTATATTCCGGGCATTTGCAACTGATTTGGAAGCATTTCATGCTTCTATTTGGTGTCAGAGGCAGCCCCCTTCTGATATTTGTGTTAGAGGCAACCCTGGGGCCTTCCCCAAGAAATGAAAAACTATGTGGAGATGTGATCAATCTGTCAATTTGTTAGGAGAGAAACTCTAAGATATCTCCAATGAAATTTAGTGTCATGAGTTTGTTTCTAACTTGGTTGTAATTAGCATTGCCCACTTGGTTAAAAGAGATGGTTTGGTGTATTGGTTATTGATTGATTTTCTTGTCAAATGAGAAAAAATAATAAAAACAAATATGAATCAATAGACTTGATGCAAAGTAAGAAGAGGAGAGAAGAGAAGAGAAGAGAAGAGAGAGAGAGGAATGTGGGGGAAACAAAAAAAAAATGCTGCCTCCCTCTTCACTTTCATTCATATCAATGGAATAAAAGAATGTATAATGACCAAACTACCCTGTCACCACATACAAGAATAAGGAACATATAAAGGAAATAAACTAAGACGTGTAACATAATGCATAACTCCTCAACATTCCCCCTCAATTTGGGAATAACTTGCATAAATCTGCTTCCAGCTTGGACTTAACAACAGCCTTGGTAAAGATGTTGGTCAATTGCATATCAGAAGAAACATAGTGCAAGTAGACTTCTCTAGATGCAATCCCCTCCCTAAGAAAATGCTGGTGTATCTCAATATTTTAGTTTTATTATGTTGTATTGGATTATGTGCAATGTTAGTAGCAGCTTGGTTGTTACAATATAACATCAACGGCTTCTCCAAGTCGATGCCAAACTCTCCAAGTTAGCCATGAGACACTTCAGACATACCATGAGCCATACTTCAGCATTGGAATGGGCAACAATATTTTGCTTTTTATACTTCCAAGACACCAAATTACCACTAGCACACACAATCACTTGACGTAGACCACCTATCATCACTACATCTAGCCTAACCTAAACCACTTTAACTTCTATTTTCATGTGTCCATGTCTACTGTGTAAAATTCCTCTACTAGAATGCTTCTTCAGATAGGCCAGTATCCTATCAACAGTTGCAAGATGTGTGCTCCTTGGTTCATGCATGTATTGATTAACAACACTAATAGCATATGATATGTTATTGATAAAAAGAAATAGCATATGATATGTTAGGTCTAGTCATAGCATATAATATGTAAGGCCTAGATTGATCCCCATCATCTCCCCTTGGCTTGAGAGAACTCAATCATGTTGAGTTAAAGGCATGATACTGTTCGAAAAGATGTGAATTAAGATGACACAAGTCTTCAACTGTAATCCATGTGCAATGATTTATTCTGAATGAAGTTGGTTCTTCCACCTCACAAGAAACTTCTGCCATCCCCCACTTGTTGTAGATATCAGTTTCTCATCAAGAATATCTTCGGGCACATTAGTACATGGAACCTAAGGCAGATTAGGCAATGAGACTGCAAGATAATCAATATGACCATGGCATTCACATCATCAGCATTAAAGATTGGACTGATTCCCATGTCACTTGTCAGTTCTAGAACATAGGCATTGGAATTAATTTTCTTGGTGATCTTGTAGGGACCTACATTTTTGGAGTAAAGCTTCTTATAAAGGCCCTTAGGAAAGCATTCAGGACATATATGCACCATCATCACCCTCCTGAAAATCAGCTAGGCACCTATGTAAATCAGCCTTGGCTTTGTATGCATCATTTCTAAGAGCAATTTTGCATCTAACATC